CCCCCCCCAAATCTTTGTCCTGCATCTGCATTACAGCTCTGAAATGTGACTAGGACTCGAGAGCCCTGAGGTGCGTGAGCTACATTAATTCCTTCACACGTGTGTAATATGCAGCTCAAGGCTGAGGCTTTGAAAACCCCTTCCCAAGGTCTAGAGTTTGGGCTTTAAGAACAGTTGCAGACAAAAAAAATCATTTTTGTCCAGATTTTTCTTCTAGTGGCAATGCAATACAGATGAATTTTATAAATGTTTGGAAGTAAAAAAAACACTTCCTTCTAAGGAGAGCTACAAAGACCTGTATGTAATTTGAAAGGGTTAGGTGCTATTGGTGGTAGTGAGACTCAGACTGAATGGATGTATGGATGCTTTCAGTTCCCTGGTTTGTGAGGAACAAAGTAGGGCCTGTTCTGATCACAATCCTTTCCTGGTTTAGGACTGGTTTTTTTGGTTTGGTTTGGTTGGTTTGGTTTCTTGGGGGCAGGGGGTTGGGGGTGGGGTGGTTTAGTTTGGGGTTTGGGTTTTCGGTTGGTTTTGGTTTTTGCAATGCATAACCTACAGGATGCAAGTGGCACCCAGAAAGCAGGTTTGCTGTCTGCCTTCATGGGACTATTTCTATACATTTGCAATCAACTGACTGGTAGATTCAAGTTAAAAATATGTAATTTTAGTCCTAGGCCAGTCAACTGAATAAATGTAAATAGTTCTTAATAGGGCAGGGAACAGGTAGCACCCACATGAAATCTAACACTATTACATAACCAGTTACATATGGTCAAGGGTGCCGCTCCTGACATTTACTTTCTGCTGTTCTGTGTGTATTTGACTAAGCCGTGGATTCAAGCTCATGCAGGTTTTCCTAAAGGTGTGGGTCTGTAGCTTGTGTTTGCAGCCGCAGCAGCTTTCCCAGAGCTGTTGGCTTAGTCTGCCTTTCAGAGATAGAACCCTTTGGGTTTGGATTAGGTTTTTAATATATATACATACGTATGTGTATATATGTGTATATATTTGTAACTTCTACCACAAGTTTTAAGGTATTAAAAGCCCTAAACATACAGAGGAATCTAAAGTAATGTAATCTTATGGGGGAAGGGGGAATCCCATCTGCAAGTGATAAGGTATTCCAAAACCATTTTTGTTACCTTCTGTCTATGGAAAGGAATACCATACTATTGTTATTAACAATTTGATGTCATGGTTCATATGCAGTGCTTGCTAATTCTGTTGAAGCAGTATTTTCTCAGATAGACTTAGCCTGATTTTATAGCAGAATAAATTACACCCTGAGAACCTAATATTAACAATATGGGAAAGTTCATAGGACAGTATGCAGCAAACATCTGTACTTGCATGCAGGTTAGAAAGTATTTTCGCTCTTACTAGTTGAGCACAGCAACTTCAACAGCCTGTATACTGCCTACCTGCTTCACTGCTGCTGACCTGCAACTGACTGACTCCTGTTTGCTACTGGGAATCATGATATTAGCACATGATTTGAAGAGAAAATGAAAATATTATTTTCAGCATATTTATTTATAGCTCTATATGGTATTTATCTGGTTGAATGGAAAACGTTATGTCTCTAAAGGTTTATGCAAAAAGTGTTATCAGCTTGGAATGTCAGTTTTAACTAAGTCTTTGAATGTTAGCAGACTGCTTTTGTAATTTAATAATTGCATATTGTTACAACTGTTGCTACATTTGTGATCAAAAACTCTACCACTTGTCTTAAATGCTGATGTATTACCATTGGTTTTTGTCATGTGATAGTGTGTATGGTTTGTGGTTCAGATGTGACATCCAAATAGAAACAGTTCTGTCTTGGGCTGTGAAGCATAACCATGTTGTGGGACTGCAAATTCATTCGAGGAGCTTTGTGCTTTCTGGTATCGCCTGACCAGTGGGCGGCTATTCTTGTGTGCAGGTGCAGAAGGCGAGGGCGCACCGCAGTGTGCAGAACTTGCTCATTTTCCGCCCAGGAATCCCGTGGCAGAGGCAACGGTGCCACGAAGAGAGTTGTGAAGACGCGAAGGACGGCTGCATGTCTCGTAGAGAATAAAATTCTCTCCACTGCTGTGTGTGTGACCTGGCGTGGCATTTCAGCATTACGCATCGTACCTGTCGTGACATGTCTGTCCTCGCCACAGCTTGCCTTTGTCCCCGCCATGTTCCCGTGGTCTCGGCACCATCATGGGTGTTGCCGGAAGTGTCGCTGGCCAAGGGGGCGGCAGTTGCTCGGGCTCCCGTCGGCACAGTTGGCGACAGTCGGGCACGGCCAGCACTGGTGGCACAGCCAGCGGTGTGATGCTGCAATGTATCTGCCGCATGCACGTTTATTCCCCCAGGAATCTGGGATTCCCAGAAAAAAGGGCTGGCAGAGCTGAAGTGCAAAATCCTGGAGCAACTGAGCTGGACTGAAGCCCTTGTCTGACCTCTGGTCACACCATGGTGCCCCGTTGTTTTTCTTGGGATTTTCGATGTTTCTGGTTTCTGTTTTAGTTTTTAGTACTTATTATTTACTTTAAAACATCTAGAATAAAAACTTAAACAACAATTGCCAGAATGGGTTTCATGAATAAATAATGC